AAATCCTAACTTAACAATAATTACATAGTTTTCCCCAATGAATTCTGAGTTTCTTGAAAGCTCTGAAACTAAGAAAAGCTCTAGTAAGAATACCAAATTGAAGATTATTACAGCCGAAAAGGACCTTAAAGAAAATCCAAGCTCCCTTATTTTAGCAGATGAAAAAGAAAAGGCACTTAGATGTTAAGTAATCTGTTTTATACTCAGGAACTTCCAGACAGAGCAAGCACAAGAACACAGATCTCTCTGATTCTCCTCGCTTTCTACTGCATCATACCATACACTAAACATTTTCATACCCTCTTAGAACCAAAATTAATATTCTTGCATGACTTGGAAATGTCAAATTATTTATAGCTTTCCTTAGGTCTTGCTTCTCCTTTGGTATATCTGTTGAATCAAACTAGGTGAAGCATAAATAGTCTTAATTTCTTAAAATTAGTTTAAAATCAGGTTAGTGGACAAAAGTTGTATTAAGTGTCAAACTAACAACTACAGACGGACTATATTCCTTTTATGATCTCTTCTGAGAATATAAAATCTCTGTGAGTAGGGATTTTTATTCACTAACATATCCCAAGTGCCAGAACAGTGCCTAATATACAGTAGGCCCTCGATAAATATTGAATAATTCAACTTTCTTGGTAGCTACTGGTTTAAAGATATCCTACTTTTCATCAATATCTCACAGTTGTATGTGAAATCCCAACTTTCTATTTTGGTTCTCATTCTTTAGTTTTAAGGGTACAGAGATTATTACTGTAAAAAATGAAATATGCATATCTATATATTTAGTATATATAAACATAATCTATATTAGATATGATATATAATATAATCCAGATATCTAAATATCTATATATCTATTCTAGACTGGCATTAAAATTCTCCAAACAATCTCTGATGCAAGAAAATAAACTATTCTAACAGAAATGCTAAAGAACTATGCTAATTCAGAACTATGTGGGCATCTACACTGTTTATTTACTTGATCCACATTTGGCTTTATTTACATGTAACAAAACAATATATACTCTGAACTAAGTTGTATTAGACTATCTAGTATAACGCCATTTCCCTTAATATTTAACTCTGAATTTTTATGATAAAGATATTCCCTTATGAACACGGCTAATATGGGTTCGTTTAGTATGTTTTTATTTTCTTTTATTTTTAAAGGTTTTATTTATTTGACAGAGTTGGGGGAGGGGCAGATGGAGAGAATCTCAAGTGGACTTGGTGCTCAGCACAGAGCTGGATGCCAGGCCCATCTCACCATCCTGAGATCATAACCTAAACCAAAATCGATCACACTTAACCAACTGAGCCACTCAGGCGCCCCTGTTTTCATTTTAAAACATATTCTTTAGATATTTAAGATAAAAAGGAATAAACAATTCTCTTACCTAGGAGAAATACAAATATTACTGTTATTGAGATCTTAAAGTAACTTCTCCAGTGAGCCTTCACAGGGAGAATACCATGTAATGCAGAGAATGATATTCTCAGCAACAGCACGCTAAGCACTGCAACAGATTTCACAGAACTATTTTTTCAAAACTTCTTCCACTTAAGCCAAAATGTAACTCAAGAAAAGCAAAGCTACGGTGAGGTACATAAAATGATATGGTTCAGAAACCTGTTTTCTGGGCTGACTTAGTTGGAGGATAGTTTTTATGTATTTTTATTATTTGTTTTTATTTTATTTCCCCCAGTTTTATTGAGATATAATTGGCATATAACATTGTATTAGTTTAAGATGTACAACATAATGATTTGGTATATATTTATACTGCAAAATTATTACTACAATAAGTTCAGTTAACATCCATTGCCTCACTTAGCTCATTTTTTTTCTTGTCGTAAGAACTTTTAAGATCTACTCTCTTAGCAGCTTTCAGATATATAACACAGTATCGTTAACTATAGTCACCATGTTGTACATTATATCCCCAAAACTTACTTATTGTATAACAGGAAGTTTATACCTTCAGACCACCCTCTAGGATAGTTTTTGGATTCTTTAGAGCTGTGGTCTCCTAATTACTTTTGAACACTGGACACTATCATTAAAAAAACCGTTTTTTGAGCATACATCCCCTAAATTTATATTGTATGTATTTATAAACTATATACGTTATATACATGTATATATGTATATATGTTGACTCCACAGAACTCAACGGTGTTCTACATAACCTGTGTATAATTATACTAATTTAGTTTTATATTATAAGAAATATACAGAATAGAAAATTTAAAAAGATAAAATAATAGTAAGCATTAATAGAAGCTGTATTGTTTTCTTCCTACATTCCAATGTTTCATTTTGTGCATACTTTGGGACAATTCACTCCATTTTGGGACTCATAAATACAAAAGAATGACACTCCTTCACGAATATTTTTTTTCCCTAAGCTTTTAAGTAAGCACCGGTCAACATGACTTCAAGGTTATTTTTCTGACAAATACCTGGAGTAGTTAGTGTAGAGTCACATACTTCTACAGTCAGGAGGTGAGGGTGGAGAGTGACATATCTTAATGAGGATTGAATTTGCTAGGACACACATTTGGTTAGAACTCTATTCTTACTCTATAGAGTTAGATCAAAATGTGCTAGGAATAACACACACGTGAATGATGAAGGCCGCAGATCTAATTATATCATTATGGTATAAAAATATATAATAGTACCGTAACTCTAGTATATACCTATATAAAGACATATTCTTGTTTCTTGACTAGACATTCTGCCAGTGATAAAATTAAATCTCAGATATTTAGAATCCAAAATGTATGATACCCAACTGTTAATATCATAGCCTTGCATATGATTGTAAAAGCCTCCAGTATGTGAACATAGTCTAAAGTTTAAATGAGTATTCAATAACATACTATTATGCAAAATAGTACACAAAAACCTTGCATAGTCACTCTGATGACTCTTGGAGCAATAATCAGTTTCCTCAGATTTTATTCAATACCAATGAATCGACAGTTATGTTTTTCATGCTTCTCCATTTCTCCGTTGGTGTGCCTACAATTTTTTAATCACAAATACTTTTGCAATGATAGATATTCTTACTATGTATATTGATTAAAAGCTTAGATGGGAGGGAACTAACGTTTTTTGAGTCTAAGTGCAAACACTTTGCTAAATGTTTTAAAGCCATTATATCATTTAATTTTCACAACAATCCTTAAATGATGATAATTATTATCCCCATTTTATAGATCAGAAAAATAAGGCTTGGGGGCTTTAAGGTCAAGGTGACACAGCCAATTCAGAGTCCGCCACCATCTCAGACTCCGCCACCATCTCAGACTCCTACCTCTCTCTGGCTTCAGAGCCTATTCTCCTTCCCCTACACTGAAAATGGGGTTATAATAACTTAACTAATCCAAGAATATCCAGATGAAATACACAGTCTACAAATGAAAGGTAATTCCTCTTGATTCTGAAAGATGACTAAAGCAATAATTATAAGTGGTTAAAGCCCAGGCCCCTGAAAAGATTACTATAAAACTACCCTTTGCTTCTGTATTAAAGTAATTTAAAATTGCTCCTCCTTTACCTGCCCTTATCCTATAGCCCAAATACAAAGCTTAAGAAGGTCAAAGTTGACTCCATAGAATTCAGTTGACTCTAAAACCCAGATTACTACAGAAGCATTGCTCAACCCTCCCTCCTGAAAATCTTTGTCACAAAATACAGCACAACTCCAAAAAACTGAGTTAAAAAAACTAAAAGGCAAATAAACTAAATAAGCTTCTTAAAAAATTCTCCTTAAACTCTCCTTAAAATTTTATAATGGGTACCGATTTTATAAGGGGTAAAGTATAAATATTATACTTTAGTATAATATTAATTCTATTCATTCCATCATCAAACTGGAAATCAGAGTCCGCAACCATCTCAGACTCCAGAGAGCTGCTTCCTAGTCAAATATGTGGAGAAAAGACAACTTTCCTAATGATGCCAACTGCAGAGAGAGATTTAACTATGTAGGAAAAAAGGGTTATTTTGGGGTTGCACTTCAATACTTCACTTTGTAACACATTTTCTCATTTGCTAAATCTTAGGCTCGAAGGAGACTCAATACCTCCGGTTTTAGTTCTCAGCCAAGTATTATTACAGCCCATTTTACAGAAGAGGCAACAAAACTCTAGATCTTAAAGAGCTGGAAAGATTGGGATCTTCCAGTTTCTTATAGAACTATTTTTTTTTTCAACCACAAGAACACGGTTTTCCAACAGGACAAATGAGAGCTAACATCTGCTAGGCATTTACGAAGAATCAAACACATATGTTATCTTTAACTTTCACATTAAGCAGATTCTACAGAAACTAAAATATCTAGGATTTCGCCCAAGGTCACACCTATATAGTAAAAGGCAGAGCAGAATTAAATCCGGGTCTGTCCCCATGGAAAAGTCTAGGGAAAGTTAGCTCAGTAATTTCGTAAGTAAGGAGAGCCTTAAACAAACTGGACCTATGGGACGAAGTATGACACTGACTCTGGAACCCGGGTAACGCATCTGCAGGCCTCCGCCAGCTGGAGCTTAAGAAGTGTGACCTTTACTCCAAACATTGCGCTGCGACAGGACGGCTCTGCTCCGCGTGGGTCAATATATCGCTACTCGCGGAGGGAAAGAGGAGAGAATGAGAATTTCATGGGGGGCCCAGACGGATCTGGGGCCGCGGAAAGGGAGAAGGATCAAACCCAGAGGCCCGGTCCGGGTTTGGGTCGTGCCTAAGGGATGGGGTGCAACAAAGGTCGCGAAGGTAGCTCACTCGAGAATCACAGGTTTATGAGAGATGTTGAACGAGGTAAAGTGAAAAGCAGGTGGGCTGGGAAAGTGAGACGGATTCACTTGAAGGGAAGGGGTTGGGGTTGTGGGTGATGCCTCCGGCGGCAGAGCTGTCCGTGGCCTCTAAAGGTCTATTTTCGAGGGAGAGGGAGGGAAGGTCTCGGTGAGAGCTATTCTGGGCCTATTACCTGCCGGGTGGTTGTACAACGGCCTCAATTTCTCCGGCAGCAGGAGCTCCACTTTATCGAGGACCCGGTGGTAGGTGGCTCGAAGGCCCCGGGCGCCAGCGGCTGACATCTCTGCGGACGAGTTGGTCGTGGGCGGTCGAGTGGGAGAGTGACCGCGTGCTCCTCCCTGGATGACAACGAAGGGCACTCGTCACTTTCTCCTGCCACAGTGCCTCGCGTCCTCCTCTCCCTTAGGGTGCCCTTCCCGCGGCTCAGGCGGCCCCCCTACGAACCACCGTGTACGCGGGGCCCAGAAAAGATTGAGGGGGCGGAGGCTCTGCGACGGCCCGCCCCGGGTCCGCCTCCTTCCCTCCCACCGCCCAGAGGGAGGAGGAGTCGTGGCAACAGGTGCCTGAAGGACTGCCTCACCAAGCCAACCCAGGGCCCTAGCGGCAGCGCGCCTGCGCAAGCGGAGCGGCCCACGGTGATTGGCCCGCCCCGCGGCGCGGGCGGGGTCCAGCGCAAACCTCCAATTTCTCCTTCCTGCCCTCGAGGCCATGTTGGAGAAGGGAACGTGAAGCTGCACCAGTTCTAATCCCCTTTTTGCTTTAAGATAGCCCGTAGTTAAAATGGGCTTTTTGGGCCTTCAGTGCCCCAACTAAAGATGACGCTGCACAACGCTCTTGCTTCCTTTGGAATGAGACTCGTGACTGAGAGACTTCATATCTCAGCTGCTTCTCTCTCTATTCCTCATTTATTCATAGAGAATCAAGGATTTAGCTACAGTGTCCCGAACCCACTTTTCTCGGGTGAGGGTAGCCGTGGCGTTCAAGGGCCTCAGTCTCGGGGGTGGTCGTCCTCTCGCGAGAAAGGCTTGGAAGGAGGGCGTCGAGAACGAGGAGAAGGAGGAGTCGCGGCCGCCTCCGCCTCCTCCTCCTGTTGGAGGGGGGCCGAGGGAGGGGACTGTTGCTGATCTCTGGATGTTCTGGGTAGTCTGAGAAGGAGAGTATGAGGCGAGCTCCGGCCCGGGCGCGGCCGGGCTGAGGGGCTGAGGGCGCCGCCGCCGCCGCCATCTAACTCGCTGCGCCCGCGAGGCCCGCCGCGCGGATGGTGCCGGTGCGGCTCGGGTGTTGATCCGCGTGTCCCCTCCCCTTTCTCCCCTCCCCCACGCGGTGGTCTCCCCTCCTACCCCGGCCCGGCAGAGCCATGTCTCGGGGTGGCTCCTGCCCACACCTGTTGTGGGACGTGAGGAAAAGGTCCCTCGGGCTGGAGGACCCGTCCCGGCTGCGGAGCCGCTACCTGGGTGAGCGGGGGCCCCGGGGGCGGAGGCGCTGAGGTAGCCGCCCAGAGGTGGGGGAGGGGGCCGCGCCGCGGGGGCTGTTGAGGTGGGACAGCCCCTGGGCAGGGGCGCCCCGGAGACTCTGGGGTGCTGGGTGGACGTTGGCCGACGGACCCCGTGCCGGTGTCTTCCCACGGCCAAGCCCCCCTTGCATGCTGCCAGCCGCCGCCCTTGCTGGGTTTTCCTCAGGGGGCCCGATGGGCGGCAGACGCTAGTGGCCAGGAAAGGTGTTGGGGGCGCGTGTGGAGTGGGATTCGGGAGAAGACTTGCCGAACCTCCCGGAGCTGTTTCGTTTGGAGCCAAAGTTGGCGCTTGTGCTCTTCTCCAACGCTCTCCCCGCTCCGCCGAAGGACTAAGTTTTTGTTGACAGCCCCCCCCCCCACACACACACACACACACACACACACACACACACACACCCCCCAGTCTCCGGAGGGCTTGGGTGTCGGCTGCGACGCGGTGACCACCTTCAGGGACTTCACGCTCCAGACGGACTCCGCGTAAACTGTTCTGCGGCTCCCAGCCAAAACCTAAAAGTGATAGCTGAGCTCTCCCCACCCCCGCGCGCTTTGCCAGTTCGACTGTGCTGTGCAGTTCGTTTTGACCGCTCTAAGGAGGTGTAGGGTTTCACGTTCCTATTCCCACCCCTGTAAAACACACTCGGCATTTACTGTTTCTTAGTTAAGCTTTCTAAAAACAACCTTCGATACTTGAGGGAACAGTATTCCACCTTTTGTTTTTTTCGTTTTGGATAAGGTGGTTACGTGAGGATTCTGGGTCAAGCTGCGCTAGCTAAAAAAGTCCAGTATCTTCAAAGTGGACGTACCTAATAAGGGTCTTGTTTGTTTGTTTGTTTCTTCCTCTGCAGTCTTTTCAGCACACTTTATTCTTTTTTGTTTGAAGGGAAGGCATCACTTAAAACTTTTTTCTTTCCAGTTTTGTCACTTTTTGCTAGGTAAGTATTGTTGATGGCATTTGGTTTGGGCCTTCAAGTCAATAAAAGAAAAATCTCCTTACACCTAACGGTTCTGGTTTGTAAATTATTTGGGAGAACTGAGCAAGCATTTTTTTCTTATTCTTGTTTTTTAGTGTCTCAAGTGACATATGAATACATTCTCGTTGTACAGACTTAATAAAAATGAAGCAGAAATCCCTGTGATTCCCTCCCATTCCAGTTTCATACACACACTCTTAGAGGTAACACTGTCATCTGTTTCCTGAATATTTCTCCAGACCTTTTTCTTTGCATTTTTACAAGCACATATATACATATAGAAATGCAATGGTTTGTGTGTGTGTGTGTAACCTGCATATATGGTGTCTTATTGTAAACATTGTTTTGCAGCTTGCTTTTTCTATATTAGGTCTTGGAGCTCTCTCCAGGCAGTAAAAATAGACCTATTCAGTCTTTTAAACTATTGCTTAGTATATAACTGTATGGAGATACTGAGGCGACTCAAACCTTTCCTCTGTAAATGGACCTTGGCTGTTACTGAAGCATTGCTGTGAACATCCTTGTACATGCTTGTGTATTTGTTCCAGGATAAATAACTAGGGTGGTAATTAATTGTTTTAAGATTAAACATCAGTAGAGAGTGATTTTTTTAAGCCATTAACCTAAAAAGATGTGCAGTATTTCTTTTAATATTTGTTGAAAAAGAATTTAATTTAGCTTGATAAAACAAACTTTAATACTGTGTTCTACATGAGTAAATTTGTTTAGTCTTGTGTTAGTTGGACTGTTTAAGTACTGATGTATATAGTTTTAAATATTAATGTTTTTTTCTGGCTCATTTAGTTCAGCTATATCTATGACAGTTAAAATATGAACCTACACATTTCCTTTTTTCCCTTTCTCCTTTAACTCCCTAATGGGAGTGGAGTTTGCATTTGGTAGAGGGAAATTGAAGAGCAAGAGTCATTGACTTCTGTAGAAAGTCCGAATTACAGGTTTTCAAATATCTGTGTGCATATATATATATGTATATATATACGTAAACACACAAGGCAGTTTTTTATCTTCATGCTTTAAATGTATTAATAATATATACTTTATAATTAGCATATTCTTGAAACAGCATCCTTTAAAAGTGGTTTTCTAAATATTTGAAAATAGCTTGTGAAGTAATTTCTTGGCCTTAGTAGACCTTCTTTACACCATTACTTTATCTAACTCTTCCACACCCCTGTGCTAATCTTGGTTTAGCATTCAGGAAATAGTAAATTCCACATTAGTAGTGCCTGAATTAATGAGTTTTGTTTTTTTTTTCAAAGATTTTATTTATTTATTTGAGAGAGAGAGAATGAGAGATAGAGAGCACGAGAGGGAAGAGGGTCAGAGGGAGAAGCAGGCTCCCTGCCGAGCAGGGAGCCCGATGTTCCCGGGACTCCAGGATCATGACCTGAGCCGAAGGCAGTCGCTTAACCAACTGAGCCACCCAGGCGCCCTGAATTAATGAGTTTTTAAAAGATAATATTTTGAAGTACTCCTACAAAGCCTTTTAAAAAGCCGAAGTTCAAGAGTTTTAGAAAGTAGATTCCTTTTTTATTTTGAGACTTCAAACATTTTGATTGTTTACAGTACTGTAGGTTATTTTTCCAATTTATTTCCATTATTTGTATTTTTAATAATGAGTTACTGCTAAATAAATAATTCACAGATAGAATTGACAGATTTTTCTTGTAACATTTACATTTCAAATTATTTCAGTATAGCATGTGTCTTTTCAATAGTAGTGTTCAAGCTTTGTAGATGATTTTAAATTTGATTAATTCCTATTTTTCCTCATATCAAAACAAGTTCATAAAACATCTTTTTATATTGTGGGAATGAAGATAAATGATTTGTCATATGTTATTTTTTTTTAATTTGTATTTATTTGAGAGAAGAGAGAGAGTGCAAGTAAGCATGAGCAGGAGTGAAGGGGGGCAGAGGGAGAAGCAGACTCCCCACTGAGCAGGGAGCCCGATGTGGGGCTCTATCCCAGGACCCTGGTATCATGACCTGAGCCAAAGGCAGCGCGTAACCAACTGAGGCACCCAGGCACTCCTGTTACATGTTACTTAGAAGAAAAAGATACATATGTTTACTTACAACCTCCAAATTCACAAGATTCACCTGAAACAACAGACTGTTGTTTGGTTTACCATGGCTTCAGAGGCTAGGCCAGCTATTACAATCTTTACGGGCCTGATCTAAATTTCACTGTAGTATTTATCTTTTTAAAGAGTAATTATCAAATCCAGAGTCAGAAACACCTGTAGATTTAAATGTTTCAGTTTCTTAAGATATTGTGTAGCTATAGAGTAGTGCTTTTGGAATTAAGTGATTATTATAGTAACTTACTGGTCACATTATACACACACAGCTTTATAAACACTGATTATAAAAGATAACTGGTTTCTGTACATTTCCTCTTCTATTCATATTCCTCTCATTTTAAAGACTTGCCTACAGTCTGAATTTATACTTTCTAACCCTTCAACATTAAAAGACAGTAACTGACAAGAGAGTAAAGGAACTTTTCTAGGGAGTTGTTTGCCATAATGTATAGTATGTTTAATATAAAATGCTTAAGCTATGATTAGGCAGTGTCCTGGTCAGCTTGGGCTGCTGTGACAAAGATAGCATAAACTGGGTAGCTTATAAACAGTAGACATTTATTTCTCACAGTTTTAGAGGCTGGAAGGCTGAGAGTAGGGTGCTTACATCAGGATCTTGGTCTTGTGAGGAGGGCCTGCTTCCTGGCGCTCTCTGTGGTCTCTTTTATAAGGGCACTAATCCTAACCTAATCACCTCTCAAAGATTCCACCTCCTAGTACTATCACCTTGGGCATTAGGATTTCAACATAGGAATTTTTTTTTTTAAAGATTTTATTTATTCACAGAGATACAGAGAGAAAGAGCATTAGCAGGGGGAGAGGCAGACGGAAAGGGAGAAGCAGGCTCCCTGCTGAGCCACGAGCCTGATGTGGGGCTTGATCCCAGGACCCTGGGATCATGACCTGAGCTGAAG